TCACTAGCCTTATCAGAAAGCCAGTCCACCATCACAGCATCACTCTTCCTCTGGGGGTGAGCTAGGAAATCTTGTACCTAACAGGCGTCTGAGCTTCAGCACGTCCAAAAGAATTTATCATCTTTCCTCCAAACATGCTTGTCCTCATGTATCCCAATCTTTATCAATGGTGCCCAAGCCAGAAACCTAGATAACAACCCAGATTCTTCTCCTTCATTGTGTCTAGTCAGTCAGAATCTTTTTTTTTTTATTTCATCATATTATGGGGGGTACAAATATTGTTAAGGATACATATATTGCCTTTGCCACACCTCACATCCCCCAGTCAGAGCTTCTAGTGCATCCATCCCCCAGGTGGTGCATATCATACTCATTTCGTAAGTGTACATCCATCCCCTCCTCCCCCCTCCCACCGGCCCAGAATATTGTTGATTCTGATCTTAAGTGGGGTGGGGGCCTCTGCCCCCCTCCCCTCCACTGCCCTAGGCAGGCTTCCTGCAGCCTCCCCCTGGATCCCAAGGGTATCTCTAGTCCCCACATAGCCACTAGTTTGTCCTCCCATAGGCAAGATCCTTAAATAAGCTTTATTTTCTCATTTTATAAAAGTAATACCTATGTACTATAGGAAATTTGGAAATGCTAGAAAAGTACAATGCAGAAAATTTAAAAATAATATCTAACAATGCTTAAAACTTTTGTATACTTCAAGTCTTTTTTTTTTTTTTCTATTTTGTTTTAGGGTATTGTCTAGGTGGGGGGGAGTGAGTCTTGCTTTTCATTTTTGCAAAATGAGGTTATTCTCTAACTATAGTTTTGTATCTGACTTTTCTCATCTGACATGTTATTAAAGATTTTTAAGAGCCTCAATTTAAATTGCATGGTATTTTTGATCTCCATTATAATTTATTTAACAGCTCTCCACTTCAAGGAATCAATGCATTGGTTCAGGCTTTTCACAAGGATGAGAATGATCTATATACCCCTTGTCCCTTAGTTTCCTGGAAGTGAAATTATCTGGTACTAATTTTTTAAGGCTTTTAATTTTTTATATAATGCCAGGTTAACTTGCCAGCAATGTGAAGAATGTACTTCTGAGCTTCTACCAAGAGAAAATATTATTGCTGTTGTTTCTTTCTAAAAATGTTTGCTAATTTGGAAGCTGAGAAATGATATACTTTAATTTTATCTTTTTGATTACTATTGAGGATAGAGTGAATATAAATACATATTAACTTTTTGTGTTTATTCTTTGTGATATCCACTCATTTTGTTTGCCCATTTTCCTAATGGAGTCTTAATAGTTTCATTACACTCTTTGAGCTCTTTATGATTAAGGATACTAATTCTTTGTCTTTTGTATTTTTGACAGATTTTTTTCCTAGTTTGCTATTTGTGTTTTAATTTTGCTCATGTTTTTTATTTATGTTTTTGTCTTATAGTGCTTTTATGTATAAGTGGCCCTGCAGTATCTATTTAAACTCAATATACAGTTGATTTTTTGATGTGTGATAGATATTTTTAATAGTTTTTTTATAACATATTTAATGATTTCTAATATTTTCTTCATTATGTTGAAAGGGCTTTTATGTGGACTGTGCTATCATTAAAATAATACAAGCAGACCAGATGTGGCTTACTCCTGTAATCTCAGCACTCTAGGAGGCCAAGGCAGGAGGATCACTTGAGGCCAGGAGTTCAAAACCAGGCTGGGTGACATAGCAAGATGCTGTCTCTACTAAAAATAAGAAAAATTTGCCAGGTGTGGTGGTGCATACCTATAGTCCCAGCTACTTGGAAGGCTGGGGCAAGAGAATTGGTTTACCCCAGGCATTTGAGGCTGCAGTGAGCTATGATCATGCCACTATACTCTCCTTGGGGCGACAGAGTGGGACACCATATCTTAAATAAAAAACAAAAATACACAAGCATGCTCATACACTCCTTACTTACAATCCTCAGTGGCCCCTCGTTACCTATATCAATTGTCACCTACCTGGCCAATCATTAGACTAACCACCTGAGATTTTTAAAAAACTGAATCCTAGACCCTTATCACTGGAGACATTTAATTCAATAGATCTTGAGGAGGAATGTTGGAATCTCTATTTTTTTAAAGCTTCTAGATGATTTTGAAGAGCATCCACGTTTTAGAAACACTGACCTATAGAACAAGTTCTAAGACCTCGTGTGGTGTCAGTTTCTTCATTTTCTCTACTCTTTCCCCCTCCCCAGCCTCATCTACCTCACCCTTATCTGCTTCCCTTGCTTTTTAGTCCCCAGCAGCAGTAAACCTAGAACCCTTCTCTGTATTCCTTCTGTGCCTTCCACGTGGAACAACTCCCCACACCCCACCCCACCCCACCCCCTACTCTGCTTTCAAACTGAAGCACCACCCTCTCTGAATAAGCAACCTCCAAATTCTCCAGCTGACCCTAACCTCTTCTGAGCTCCTACCACAGCTTTTAGCTTCTGTATTACATGGAATGGCATCCGTTTATTTATAATTGTCTCTCTACTTATCTCCCCACCCCCTGGAGACTGTGGAATGCTCTATGTCCCTGTGCCTGGTAAAACACCTGGCTCCCACCATCATGTAGGAAGTACTCAATAAACCTGAGCCAGGCCAGGAGAGAGCACTGTCTCATGGGCACTCGGCTCCAGTGTGTGCCAGGTGTTTGCATTGGGAGTCAATTCTGGCTGACCTGGGACTGGTCTCTAATTATCTGCCAGAGTCCTCTTTATAACTCCCAGGAGGAGCTACTCAGTAGCACTCTGATCCTATCCCCTTATAAGTCTCCAAGACAGAAAAGCCACTTCAGATCTGGAAGAGTTCCAGAAAGATCACTGAAAATAGATCTAGTGGTGATCTACATTTCTTTAGAACGCCCTGATATCTGATCCAAGGAGTAGAAGAGGATTCAGTCTGCTTATTAGTCATTAAGACTAATTCTAAAATGTAAAAAGATAAATATTATTTAGCCAGCTATTTTGTAAAACTGCATCTAAGATGACATCTTTCACAGCCTCACTTAAACTATCCTCCCATTCTTTGAAGTCCCTCACACTCAATAAACATGACAAGGTATTGAAGTGAAATGCCATTGTTTGAACTATAAGGAAACTACCTCCCATAAAGACTCCTTTTCATCCTTTCTTTGAGATTCAAACTGATTCTAAGAAACATAACATTTAAAATGGAGATTTAGCCTTAAAGTGCTGGAGAAAAAAAAAAATCAGAAAAGGCAGGACAAGAAAAGCTGGGTTAGCTGGAGTACAATTAGGAAGAAAGTATAAGATGGAAAAGGAAAAAAAATAATGAGGTTTTATTGTAGTGTTAGGAAACCACCATTTCAAAGGTGAAAGTGTCATTTTACAGTCTCACAACTATGCCTGGCAGGAAGTGTGTTTGCTCTCAATCCTAATTTGGGTGTGTTCCTGTAGAAATGTTGAACCTCTCCTAAGGGAAACAGAAACTCAATCGTGCAGGAAATAGATACTGAAAAAACAGTGGTAGCTCAGTGTTGCCACAAATAACCGTGGTGTGGAGGGAGACAGAGAAAAAACTTGTTCCTCGTTAGAGAGCTAGCCACACTTCTCACTGCTCACAATGAGAAGCCGAAGATTGCCCTTGGACATCCAGATTTTCTATTGTGCCAGACCTGAGCAAGAGCCTTTTGTCAAGGTATGTTGGAGTGTGTCCCTGAGGGCTAACCCAGTGAATTCTCAGTGATCTGCCACTCAGTATGGTTTGAAATGTGTTCTGATAAGCTAGGATTGTGCTGACATTTCAACCAGAGCAGGTATTTTATTCATTGTGGAAATGGATATGGTATTGTGGGCCATTCCCCTTGGAGTCAGAAATTCATATATTTGGTTTTTTTTTTATTCGACAGCCTCATTTTGTACTTGTGATAAATGTAGAGTTTGCCAAAAACATGGTAGTTTATTTAATACATGTAATACGGGATTTGTGAGTCTGATAGTTACAATTCTTTGATACATAAACCCTCCTCGAGAAAAGATGGTAACATTTGTACACTTAATTTTCTTACCTGTAAATCCAGCTCAGACTGTAGGGGGTACTTTGTATTAATATCTGTCACTGTACATTTTAGAAATTGAGTTGTAAACTATCTGATAACTTTTACTAATGTGTTTTAAATGTTTTTTCTCTATAATATAAAAGTCATTAATACTGGTGCCCAGGAATTTTGATGGATTAGTTGTCTAATATAATCCTTTACTTGAAGGATTAGGCTGAGATGCCTAATATATCTCCTTCAATTTCAAATAACTCAGTGATTTATTCTGCATCAGAGTGAAATCTGACAAAAAATGGATTTTAAGGTAAAAGGGACTTTGATATCAATAGTTCATAAGCATGGCTGTAATTAAATAATAAATGTATGTAATATAAGGCTTCTCATTTTAGAAGGGAAGAATACTTTGATCATTTCTGAACTTTACATAAAGAATCGTAAATTATTTAGTCATAATTTAGACTAAAGCTTTGTGTTTCTTTGCATTGTTGTTCCTGGTTGCTGTTATCATTCATTATTTCTATCAGAATTGTTTGCATGACCTAGAAAGTAAACAGGAACCTTTATTAAAACTATTCTTTTCATCCATAATTCCCTGTTTGAAGAAGACTTAGTGATTGGTCTCTGATTAGTCCCTTACAAATTCAAATTTAGGTGTAGGCTAGTGGTGAATAATTTAGGGCCTTCTCATGGAAGGAGCAATCAGCAGCAGTAGTAAAACTGGAAGACTCATGACTTTAATGTATATATTCAATGCCTTAGCAGTACTGCCTTAAATTCTACATTTGTTCTGAAATTGAAACACTAACCATTTCCCCCAAATCCTGTTCCATCTATTAGTAACTCCTGCCACCAAAGCTCCACCTTTTCAGGCAGTTGCATACCTGCTAGTTTTTTCCTAGCAGTTGGAGGAAAAACAAATATGTTATTGTTCTTGGCTTGTGTGTCTTCTCATTTCAGATCATCACCGTCGAGGAGGCAAAGCGCAGGAAGAGTACGTGCAGCTACTATGAAGACGAGGAGGACGAGGTGCTGCCCATCCTGCAGCCGCACAGCGCACTGCTGGAGAACATGCACATAGAGCAGGTGGGCGCTCCCGGACTGAGGATGGGGATCTTCCAGGCCTGGAAGCGTATTTCCCATCCCTGACTACATTTGCTTTTCTCACTGGGGATGAAGAGTGAGTCACCGGGGGAAGGCGGAAGGCCAGCAGCTCACCCGAGGCCGGTGCCCCTGCTCTGCTTCTGAGAAGCTACAGCATATTTCTTTCCCCACTGCCTTCTTAGGAGTGTGAGGGCTTGCTCAGGTGCTAGCATCCTTGTCTCAAACCTGAAGGGAAAGCCATTTCTTATCTGAAAAAAAAAATTGTTTTAAGTGTCCTGTCATAGTCCTGATGCACTTAAAAAGGATCCAAATTTATCCTAGAGATTATTGCAGAGTTCCAATGGCTGTCATTTACAGGGCTCAATAAAAGTAACCAAGCAAATACATCTTACTGCTTTATGAAAAATATCTTTCTCTAGGAAGAATTTTCCTTTTTCTATAATTGGCTTTATATTTTCTGAAAATCTGTTACTTGAATATTGTGAAATACTGTTATAATGTGTTTATATTTGAAACTTATTAAGGAATCTTTTGCATTTCTCTCATCAGTTAGCTTAGAAACCTGAATTTCAGAGACTTTAAAGAATCTTGAAGTTCAGCTCCCTCAGCTTACAAATGAGCCGGTGAAGGCCCAAGAAAGCCCAGAGACTTGACCAAGCAGTTATAGAGACGGGCCTCACGCTGACACTAGAGCTGATTTTACACACTCTGAAGACTTAGTGCTTCATAGCATCCTTCAGTAATATTTTTGAAGAGACACATGTTATTAGTGTTTAGGGCAGCCATGTTTAAGCTGAACATTGATGTAGGTGAAGGATACAGGTGTTATGAGGACAGACTACATCTGACTTCTAGCATAAAATACTAGTGTTTTCTTGCTCTCATTTCTGTGGGAAGCTGCGTTTGTCAGTAGCTGCTCTGAGCCTATAAGGATTGAGAAAGAACAATTGGAGAAATAGGAACTGATTGGTGAAAGTCAAGTTGAAGTGGAAAGGAAGAGCATATGTCTAGTTAATAGCACTCTGTCTAGCTTGATCAGTGTCTCCAAATGTATAGTGGCATAGGGACCCCACAGTTAGGTCCCCAAGTGGGGAAACATACTCTGGGCCCTGCCAAGGTGAACACTAGCAAGCAATGATTTTCCTTTCTCTTTCTTGGTTTATAGTGGCAAATGTTTGCCCCACAGTAAAGAGGAATAATAGGCAAATATATGATTTTGAGTTTGAGCCACAGGTGCTTGTTTTATGCCACACATTCATGAGTGTTTTGTGCCTGAACCGTCTATTTACATCTCCTTCTTTGGATTCATAGCTGGCCCGGCGCCTTCCAGCAAGGGTGCAAGGGTATCCATGGAGACTGGCCTATAGCACTTTAGAGCACGGGACCAGCTTGAAAACTCTCTATCGGAAATCGGCATCACTAGACAGTCCTGTCTTATTGGTCATCAAAGATATGGATAATCAGGTGAGACCTGTTTCTCTCATTAAGAACATTTTTTAATGATTTTTCAAACCTACCAAGCAGGAAAGAAACTAGTACAATGAACTATAACCCAGACTCCACAGTTAGTAGGATTTTTACAACATTTGCTTCATGTGTCTTTTTTTTTTTTTTTATCTTTGCTAAAATATTTTGAAGTAAATTCGAACCCTTATGTCATTCACTTTTTTTTGGAGACAGAGTCTCGCTTTGTTGCCTAGGCTAGAGTGAGTGCCGTGGCATCAGCCTAGCTCACAGCAACCTCAAACTCCTGGTCTCAAGCGATCCTACTGCCTCAGCCTCCCAAGAAGCTGGGACTACTGGCATGCATCACCATGCCCAGCTAATTTTTTCTATATATATTAGTTGGCCAATTAGTTTCTTTCTATTTATAGTAGAGAGGGGGGTCTCGCTCTTGTTCAGGCTGGTTTCAAACTCCTGACCTCGAGCAATCTGCCCGCCTTGGCCTCCCAGAATGCTAGGATTACAGGTGTGAGCCACCGCTTCCGGCCTGTCATTCACTTTTACATATTTCAGAATCATCTCTAAAAACAAAATGGAGCATATTTACAAATACATCGTTTTCTAAGAATTTTTTTCCCATGTTCACTATCCACTAGGAAAGTATAATGATATCCTACAGCCTAAAGATGCAAAAGTTGGGGAAAAGTCAAATCTGGATTTGGAGATAGTGGCAGAAGTAAGTTCCGGTGCCATACCAGAACTTCACCAGGTAGCTGAAGTGCTGCTCACATGCTTGCCTGCATGGTGGCCGTGAGTGATGCAAAACAGTCAAAGCCATGATGTGCTGTGCCCGAAGGGACCCAGTTGTTAAGAAACAGCAGAGAATGTACTGCACTATTCCTGACTGCACTTTCATCTGTGTTATAGTTGGTCTTTCTTGGAGGCACTGCTGAAATCTAGATACTACCCCTATCTACCCCACACTGTTACTTCTTCCCTCAAATCAGCTTGGACTATGAGTAGAATCCGTCTAGGTTTCTTCCAGGCACTACCCAGTCAGACTCTTACATCACAAAAGAAAGGCATCATTCAAGTCTGTTCTTCATATATTTCTCTTTGATCTGTGTTATATTGAGAAGAAATTCCTCTAAGATTTTAAAGTGTGGAGGACATCCTTTCCTACTTTTGGGCATTGAAGAAGGTTTTACTCAACAGCCATTTGTTTGTTTATTTGTCCATTCAGCAAGTGTCTAATGAGTGCCTCTTATTTGCTGGGCACTGTTAGGCATTGAGAGCTTGCTGGGAAGTGCAGAATTTTTATATTGACAACATGCCCACCTCAAAATAAGCCGTATAAGTGGGATCACTTTACGGGATCACAAATTAGGGGAGAGATGGGGATACTGAGGATACTCTTTCTCAATGGTGATCTTTGTGATTTTATTGCAGTATTATTATACCTTAAGAGTTACAGGGAGGAGTTTAGCTGTTATCATTGGTTACTATTATTATTTCCTGATTGATGACATTTAATAATGAACCAAGCTGAATAGTGGGTAGAATCAATATAAAATATTAAAATAAATGGTTTAAAATGGAATTACTTATTAGTGAAATGTTTCAAAAGTTGGGTGCTATGTTTTGGATGAGGTATGGTAAGATTGTCATAGACCGTACATACAAACCCTTGCCCTAAGTATGGATTAGTTCTCCTATTTATTTGCCAAAGATGTCAAACTTGTTAGGGAATGTGATGGTCCACACAGAGAAGATGTTGATGAAGCAGTTTCCACAAGCTTCCTGTCAGCAGATGTGTAAAGGGGGCCTACAACTGAAGGTTACACTGTTTGTCAGGGGGTGGAGTCTTACTGAATCATGTACCCTGTTGTTTAAGGACACTGGGACACTAACTCTGCTTTCCTACCCTGTCTATCCCCAAGAGGAGAATGTGGCTTTGCTGTGTTTAAGAACATGACAGAATAACACCTATACATTTATCTGAATATTATATGAAATTAATTCTGGATTAGATGAAATTCTAATAAAAATATTATATATGTAGATTAGCATCAATGAGCAGCTCTGCAGATTCAATCCCCAGTGAAAGAACCATAGCTGGTGGAAATTATAAAAACAACCATCACTTAAAGGCTCTGGAAATTGTCCTAAGGGCATATAGCAAGTGAAGAAAGATTCAGTCAAGAAAATCTAATAAATCTCAGTAATAATAGTGAGATTCTGTTGCACTTGAGGCACGACCCCCTCTCTCTCCAACTCCCAGCTCAGACTGATGGTGGGTCCACTCTGGGCATGTGTGGCCAGGAAGGTCGGGTTCCCTCTCCCCCAACAGCTGCCAGTTAGGGGCCGTGGTATACCCATCTCTAGGTGCAGGTCCCCAGCATTTCTTATCCCCCACCCAAGATCTGTGTTTCAGAGGCTAAAATCCAGGAAACTGTGGCCTGGAGATAGACCTTCTTCCTCCACTCAGTCCCCACTGAGAAGGCTGAAGTTCCACACCAGGTGAGGCAAGCCAAGACCAGAGGCTGCTGCCACTATCAGGAGCGATGGTTTAGAGATTGTTCCCAAGGGAAGAGGCATGCAGTATGTCACATCATAGGGCTCTGAAACTCTTCCCTAAGGAACTGACTTTATGTAGACAAGTATGGGAGATTTCAAGCCAAAGGGCACTCTAGAATCTAAACAATGAGAATTTTTGTAGTAAACATTTACAAGGAAGCTCGTAGCCATGACAACACAAGCTAAACTAGACCATCTAGTTTACCAGCAAGAACCAGGAAAAGAGACAACCAAGGAAAGCCTTCCTGGAGTCAGGATGAACTTCCTAGTCTGGCCTAAGAAACCACCCCTGCAAAGGGATCTGAATTTAGTCAGATCAGGCTGTGGAGTAATTGATACACCAGGCACTGTTGAAAACATTAGAGTAACCATCAGGTAATTAGTAGAGCCAGATTACCAACTTCATTCCAGTGAGGTATGGAAATATTACCCTTTATATTCTCCTATTCCACTATAACATCTTTCTACTGTTTATAGTACTATTATACATATTACCTCTACATGTATTACAAACCCAATGATTAAATTGATTACTATTTTATATAACTTTGTATATCTACTAAAGGAGTTGAGAGAGGAAAGGAGAGCAGATACACATTTATATGTTTTCTTATGTTAACCTTCTTTTTATCATTTCTGATGATTCTTCATCTGTTCCTGTGGATTCTTTTGTTCTGTTATTACTAAATATACTACATTTTATATGGTATAGGCTAAACAGTAATACCATTATTAAATATTTATTGTTTCATATAATTTCTTTCTAAATTAATTAATAGAAAAAGGAAAAAAGAAAACAGACATTTTCTTACATAATTACAATGCTATAAACCTAGCAAAATTAACAGTAATTCATTAATGTCATTCAGTCCCTATTCCTTAAATGGATTTCCATGATCATTAAGAAAGTTTTTAGCTAAGGAAGAAAATAATTATTTAGAATTCTGTAGAGGGTGAGAGTTAAGTATGACTTTTCCTATTGATTAATCAGAGAGGGACCCACTTTCTTCCACTGACAACCATTGCCCCTTTTGTCATCTTTTAATACCATGCTTTTAAAAATACCTATCTCAGTTGAGTTTAGTTCTTTTACTGAAAAACCACCAGAAAAAGGGGAAAAGATGTTACTATTTTGTGCTTCTTTGTTCTTGGCAGCTCTAGGGAAAGGTTTGGTACTAGGAAGTATGAAGAATATTGGTTTAAAAAAGTTTCTAGGCTTCTGCTCTACCTAATATTTAGTGGTAGTGTTGCAGGTAGTCAGAAACTGAGTGTAATTGGTGAGGAAGAGAGCATAGAGGTTGTCATCCAATTAAAATACTTTATGAAAAATGATAAGACATTTTTCAGATAACCTTCATTTTAAATAATGTGGACAAGGTATATCTGAATCACCTAGGGACATTTTCAAAATGTTCTCACCCCTGCCAGTGCGGATCAGGATCTGAACAGAAGGATAGAATGCAGGGGCAGTGGATGTACACATTCTGAAAACGCTGCTCTCAATGTAACTTGGCTCTCTTTCTACCCCTCAACAAGAAAAAGTAAAAGAATCATTGATCTAAACACATCTAAATCACCTTTCAAGACCATAGTATTATGGAGTTGTCATTTTTTTTAAAGTCATTTAGAGCTAAGATATATTGAATCAGTCTATATTAAGGATATAGTTTTAATAAGCATATTAAAACTCATTGTTAGAAATCAATAGGAAGGAAAGTTCATTTTCTTGGGGAAGTGCCTGGCTGTGATTCTATTTACAGAACACATCCAAGAGGTGACTCTGTTGTCCCAAGCACTTATTTCCGTGTCCAAGATGCATCTTGCTGTTTAATGTTCCCAGTATGTCATCTGTTTTCACTAAGGCAAATTTGTCTCCATAGTGGGCTTTGGAAGTCTTTTAAAATTGGAACAAATTGTTGGCTTTTGACAAATAAGTTCCCTGAGCTTCATCTGATGGATTTTTCATGCACCAGGAAGCCTGGCCACTTGGGTTCCAATTAGAGCTGGGGATATTTTGTTTATTCTTTTGTTAGTGGTCTGTTTTATTTAAGAGCTTCAATTTAGTAATAATCTTTGCTGAAAGAGGAATAACAAGGTCTCAGAACAAGAATGTGTCAAAAATATTTCATAAAGTCTTTGTTTAAGAGGTTTAGGCTTTGAACATAGATAACATTTCTGTTTTCTTTTGGCAGATTTTTGGAGCATATGCAACTCATCCTTTCAAGTTCAGTGACCACTATTATGGCACAGGAGAAACTTTTCTCTACACATTTAGCCCTAATTTCAAGGTACCTAGATTGGAGAAATATCCCACTTCCCAGTGTCACAATGTCAGCAGCGGGGCAGGGGTGGGTGTTGGGGCAGCCCCCTGACCTATACCCTCATCTGGACTCTCTCCAGCCTGGGTCAGTCCTTCATGACTGTAACACAGAAACTGCCTAGGATCCCTGACCTGGAGTTGCTCAGTCTGGGTTCCAAGGAGGAGTTGCAGGTCAGAGCCAACATGTGCCTGAAAGGTCTTTCCTACTTCATAATGCCTTTGGAGATATCATTCTGGTGTGGGCCAGGTCTTGCCATCAGGAGCTTCCTCAGTCAGTGAGGTGGTTCCCTTTTACATAGAGATGTTATTTAATATTGCCTCTTTGCTCCTTCTCCAGATTAATGACTGTGCTCTGTTTTGTGTTCCTACCCCAAGGTCTTTAAGTGGAGTGGAGAAAATTCATATTTTATCAATGGAGACATAAGTTCTTTAGAACTTGGTGGTGGAGGGTAAGGTTTTTATTGTTGTTTTTTTACCACCTGACCTGGGTGGGTCTGTTTTGATCCAGGTAACTAAAACCTTGGTGTCAGATAATTGTAGCTATTCCCCATGTGCTTAGATCAGGGGTCCTCAAACTTTTTAAACAGGGGGCCAGTTCACTTGTCCCTCAGACCATTGGAGTGCCGGACGATAGTTTAAAAAAAACTATGAACAAATTCCTATGCACACTGCACATATCTTATTTTGAAGTAAAAAAACAAATGGGCAAAAACACCTACATGTAGCCCGCGGGCCATAGTTTGAGGACGTCTGGCTTAGATGAATGAGGACAGTGGTCTAACACATGACACTAAGAGTCAAAGATAAAATTTTTTATTTATATGTCCAAATGAGGGATTATTACCACTTGTCTTTTAGGAAGACAGGTCACTTAAATGAAATAAAGGCAGTATACCCTTTGTCTTACAGGCGGTTTAGAATTTTGCCTGTCTAAGACATAAAGGAAAAAAGAGGGGCAAGAGAAGATAGAAAGTGTGTTTTTAACATTTTTTTTTAAACATTTTCAGGGGACGATTTGGTTTGTGGCTAGATGCTGATTTATACCATGGACGAAGCAATTCTTGCAGCACTTTCAATAACGATATTCTTTCCAAAAAGGAAGACTTCATAGTTCAGGACCTAGAGGTATGGACATTTGAGTGAAATTCAGACTGCCTTAGAATACAACATTAAAAAGACTGGGTTATATCAGCCCTCCTAAAGCTGGCTGGAAGACGAAGTCCCAGCTGAGGCTGCCTCATCCCACCCTAATGCTTTCTTTCTGCCATCATCTCAGAGCATGATCACATTGCAGAAAGATTCTGAAAGGTATACATGGAGGGCAGACACTGAAGAAAGAAATTTGAAGTCTAGATTGTTGAAAGACTTTGTACTTCCACTTCCTTCAAGTCCATACAGTGGGGAATCAGAGTGTTTATAGATGTATGAGTTGAATGCAATTTTTATTTTTGGTAACTGTGAAAAAAATATACTGTGGAAATATATACATGCCTTGTGTATTTATCGGCATAATTTTCATTACCAAAATGTATAGCTATTGTTTGCCATGGAAAAGGTTAGTCTCATTTAGAAAAACTGAGAGTGCACAGCACTTAAAAGGGAATATATGATTTTTTTTAAAAAAAACTGTTTTATTTATTATTTCTAGTATATTGTCTAAAATGTGTTGGCAGTTTTTTTCTTTTAATGTGTCAAATCTTGAAATAAAGAAATGTGTACATTTTGTGCTGTGTTTTGGGAACAAATCTGTTTGATTTATATAGTTTTATATTGAATTTTTTTTGCCCTGATTGTTTAGGGTGATAGGTCTTAAGTAGCATATATGTATATGTATATGTACATATATATGAGTGTATAATTCTGAATTTTTAAAAACTTATCACTAATGTTCATTGATTTGACTATTATAGGCCATCTTTCCATTTAGTCATTAAAAGGTACATTTTTAGTTACTTACCCTGAACATATTTGTGTAAGGAAGAATACACCATTTCTCACAGTCTTAAGTTGATATTTATAGAAATGGATAACCCTTATGAAACTAGACTTAGAAAAAAACCCTGCTTTTGAAATGAAAATGTTTTGCTTCTTATAAAATCATGTGTATTAATAACAAAAACTTTATTTTCATAGTGTTTTTTGCATAACTTTCCCAAGCTTTTACATTAGTGAGCAGGCCTCTGTTTTAAAAGGGACCTAGAGTTTTAATTTCTGTGTTTTTTAAAATCAGATGAAAAATGTCAAATTGGACCAATTGTCTTGATTTCTAGACTTGTTTGAGAAGAAACAATACAAAGAAATCCATTCATACCAAAATTGGAATAAAAAAGAAAACCTATTTTTTAAATATAAACCCATTTTCACATCATAAAACATATTATTGAAAATAATAATAAAGCTTTGTTAAAAACTTAACCAATATTATTGATTGCCAGACTTTTATGAAAGCCAAAGACTGCTAGTGGAAAAAAATTTCAAATAATAGCCAAAGCTGAGATTTGGTCTGTCATAAATTACTTCCCTGGTAATCTTTAAAAGGAAAAGTTATTTAAAAAAACAGTACTTGCATATGTGCATTTTAAAAATTTACAGAATATTTCATTTAGATTATTCTCCTGTTTTCAACTATTTGTAGAAGTTTAAATTTATCCAGTGGCCTCCTGTCAGACCAACAATTATACTCTACTCACATTCCATGCAAATTTAAATGAATGGTATAAAATTTTAAATCTGTATCCTGGGTGTACTTTTCACCCAAGTTCTCTTACTGAGAACTCTTAATTAACAACATATTGGCAGTTTCATCTTAATCTGCTTGTTAAATGTATTGGTGTGAGATATCAGGAATGTCTCAAGATGATCACATTTACCATTTGCTCCATTTGCAACCATATGCTATCAATAAACAAAGTGGTCATTTTGCATATAGTTCACTCTGACCTAGTTTAGTCCATGATATTAATACTATATTGTGAGAGCATATCCAGATGCTGTGTTCCCTATTTAAAACAGTATTGTCCAATCAGAAATGTGGATTTATGGATATTGACTATATGTAATGCAGTGCTATCCCAATATTTTCAATAAAGGAATTTATGCATTCAATGTGATTTTCTTTCCTGAGAATTCATTCATCATGAATTGTAATTCATTTAAATTTAAATAGCCACATGTATTTATTGGGTACTAGAGTTTTTTACTTTTCTGAGAGGATGATGAAATATCCAAGGTCCAGTGCTCATGTTTTCATTGCTGCCCTGGAAACTCCTCTTCATTCCCTGTAGCCACTCTCCTATTGTCATCAGTTCATGGAAACTGCTCTTGTTATACTTCTTAGACATAACTCTTAGCTCTATCTACCAGCTTCTTGTCTGTTTTTATCCTTGTTGCTGTTCTATGAAGAATGACTTCCTCCTTTTAATATCTGTCTCAACCTGCTTCCTAATTTCCGTGATGGACACCTTACCCTCTGATAAATTTCCTTTGGCATCCTGTCACCTAGCCCCTAGAGATGAGGGCTCCAAGTAGTCATCATTGCTTCTTAATTTCTCATTTCTAAGTCCATATTAAAGGATTTGGGTGGGAAGATGTTTCTTCAGACTCAGTTGATTTCAATATTATCCCCTTGCTACAAGCTACCAGGGATACCTTGAACTAATATGAAAAGTATGTCTGCTCTTAATAGGATTTCCCTTTCCTTGATTCCTTTTTAAAGTTTTAGAGACACAGAAACAGGACTAATAAAAGAACTCCTTTTTTGAGGAAGGCATTGAGAATCTCTTACATCAGAAAGGGAGTTAAGACTCATGTTTTTCTTAGGATGCCTAACCTGTTTTTATAAACTTAACCAGATAGAGGAAGGTAAGGAGGTCAGAAGCCAAGGGAAATTCCAGAAAACCCAAGATAAGGGCAGTCACATTTACGTCTTGTGTAAGCATCAAAGGTACCTTTGACCACTTCCTTCTGCCCAATCAGGTCACATACTCTTTGTCATTCAGGGGAAGCCCTAACACACATTATCCATTGTGATCCCCTAATAGAACATGTCTTTACTGAGAAAATTAAGCTTCACAATTCACACCAAACCCTAAGGACCCTTTCTTTGTATTTCAAATCTCTAGTGGTTCAGAATAAAAATTAGACATGGCCTCCCTGGTATAGTGAATCAAGTCATCAAATGTTTCTTAATACAATATCTTTGGGGACTTTTTGTTCATCTTTTAGATTAACACTGCCTGATGGAACATGCTACAAAGATGGAAGTGTTCCATGAATTTTCACTGTCCTTTGTGATAGCTATTAGTTGCCATACTAATGTTGAACACTTGAAATGTGCCCTGGGTGATTGAGGAGCTAATAAATGAATAAACTTTAATTTATTTAAATTTAAATAGCCATCTGTTACCAGTGGCTACTATATTGAACAGCACAGCTCTAGATCAAGATGTTAGTACTGAATCATATTTTCTTCGGCAATTAAATCAAACTATGACTCCCTCAACAGAAGAGACGCCGTAGTTCTAAGATTTTGATTTGTCTATGCCATTATGGATCTTCAAACAGCTTGGTACCACCTAAGCCTTAGGTTACACTGTGTATCTCTCACTGTTTAGGTAGTCAGCTTATAAAGTGACCAGACACCTGAGAGTCTTTCCTTACTGAAAAATTAGATATCTCTAGGATTATTGATCTCCACCTCTAACCAAAGCTAAAGAAAACATCTTCTAGTGCCCAAGCCTTGTCTTGCCCAAAGTTTTCCTGGCCATCAGCACATGTTTTGTTCCTATACTAGACATTCCACTGCTCATGGCAGCCCTGGTAGGGTGCTGTATCCCTTGCCAGGTGCCCATGCATCATGCATAATGGACCACAGAAGAGAAAAAGCAACTCATTCATTACACAAAATTGTGCATCCAGTCCCAGAACCATCAGGAATAAGGGAATCTCCTAGAATGCCTCACATGGTGCTATTCAGTGACCAATCTTCTTTACCAAGTTTGCCAACTGTGATGCCAGCAAGCTGCATGTACCTGCCTGCACGTGGAAAAAGTGTTCAATAGCTACCTGTTAGAATAGAAAACAACAAAAACCCATAGGAAAGAGACTATAACCTTAACATCCTATTTTTTTTAGACAGTCTATAAACAAAATAATGGAGGAATTCCTTTTTCTATTAGAGGAATCACCTAATGATATAACAGTTACAAAGTTCATCTTCTAAGATAGCAACTTATTTACTTTTTAAAATTATTTTCAGACATATTACAATGGCTCTCATTTGCTATTGCGATATTTTTAACTAAGGTTTGGTTTCCTTTTTTGAATTGTAACAGTAAACATGTTCATGGTAAAGTTTTCAAATGGTACAGAAGAGAATTCAATAAAAGGCAAATATTTCCCTCCCTACATTTACAGATGTAACAGTTTCTTGTATTTTCTTCTAGAGCTTTTCAGTGCATATATAAGTTTATTTATACCTATAAACAGAAATATATTATACATACTCTTCTTTAGTTTGCCTTTTTAATTTAACAATATACTGTGAACAACATTTTCTATCAATATATGTAGATTTACCTCATTCTTCATTGCATGGGTCTATTATTGTTTAAACAGTCTTCATTAATGGAGTCTTTTTGGCTATTATAGACAATTCTTAGTGGACATTCCTGTATCTAGAACTTTGTGCATTTATGAATTGCATATTTGTAGGATAATTTTTATCAGAGTGTACTTTTTTGTTTTAAAAGATACTCTTATTCTTCCCCAAAAGTTGACACTAGTTTATACTAACAGTGTATAACCATGTCAGTTACCTCACACCCTCACCAATACTGGTTATTTCAATCTCTTTTTATTCTTTGTCCAAATGCTATCTTAATTTTCATTCTTTAATCATGAATGACGTTGAACATGTTTTCACATGTATTTGCTATTTATATGTCTTATTTTCCTAACAGTCCATGAGCTTTATCCATTTTTCTATTGGGTTTTTTCATCATTGTCTTACTGCTTTGTATATGTTCTTTGTATGTTCACAAAATTAGCCCCTTGTCTCATATATTTTGCAAATATTTAGTTTATATTTTTAAAACGTGCTTTTTTCATTATGAGGTTTTCTTTTATTACAATTTCTTTGTAGTTAGATTTATCAATCCTTTGTAACTTCTGGATCATAATTTTTTAGGTCAAGTACCATTGGTTCAGCATGATTTTCACCTCTCACTTAAAACACCTCCCAAAATTATGTATTAATGCCATCTTCTACCTTATCTAGAATGCATCCTCTTATTCTGTACTAAATTACACCCCCCTCATGCTTCAGAACATTTAGAAATAACCTTCTCAAAATCACTTTCACTTTTCACTGGCCTCTTATTCCTTTAACACATGCCAACATCTTCAGGAAAGGTCTTAGGGCAAAAACTGAATGTTCGCCTTAAGTAATATCCTCTAGTGAGTAAGCTTGGGCTAAGCAAGGTTGATGGACAGACTTCTATGTAGATCTCCAGACCCTGTCACGATGTCTTGCTGAGGAACAATTTATATACTAAAAATAGTCATGAAGAGGAGGAGGAGAAGGACAGGTAACATTTATTTAGCATGACTATCCACCCTCTTTTTTTTTTATTATATGCATTGTCTTATTTGATCCTCAAAATGAAGATAGTACAATTATTATTTCTGTTTTAGAGATGAAGAAACTGATTCTTCAGGAGGTTAGGTAACTTGCCTGAAGTCACAGAGCTAAGGAGAGTTAGTGCCAGGATATCTTCGGTTATGTCTGTCCCAGAGCTGACCTCTTAACCACATAGTGCTCTGGCTTTGTCCCATCTTTACCGTATTCTCCACCACTTGGTTGCCCACATTCTGCTTAATCACCTCAGGCACCACCATCCACAGTCCTCCACACTAGAATGACAGCTCCTGAATGTCTGGGAGCTCCTCTCTGGCCAGCCATGTCTTTCTATCCCCAAAGCCTGGCAGGGTGCAAGGCACGTAGGAGGCTTATGTTCAGTAAATGCTTGTCAAATTCAACAGAACTGAAGGAAATGAGCCCCACAGAAGTTAATAGGTTTGTCCAATGTTCCACAGCTAAATGGCAGAGCTGGGACTATAGCACAGTTTGGATTCCTAGCTCTTCTCCCCTGTCCCCTGCATAATGCCGAATCACAAATTTACGAGTACATTCTTGAGATGGGCTACTGCCATTCAGGAAGGAGTGATTCTCTCTCTAGCTGCTAGAGTTCTTCCCTTTGGATTTTAGGGATATAAATATGTACAAGGCTGGGAAGAAATTTCTGAGGGATGGTTGTTCCTGGAGAAGAATTTCTTCATTTTCAGGTCTCTTAGTTATTAGCATTCTGAAGAACGTAGACTGACAGTTCTAGGGCCTCAGAGCTTTAGGGCATTGGCACTGAGTCACATTCTGGGTTTCCAAATATCATACTTGGAAAATGGTTCAGAAGACCATTTAAATGAAAATCAAACTCTGAATTAATTTTGCACTTAGGTGATGAAGTTGGGAGACGAGTGCAAAGGCATGTGATTAACTAGATTCTCTAGTCCTAACTTGTGTTGATTTAGGAAGGAAGATTTATCAGGCAGAAAAAAAAAAATTGAGAGGGACATTTTATAAAAAGCATGTTTTATAAAATAGCTAATCTAGGCAAAGTAGCACTGTGTCTGGTACTGTGTAAGCGTACAATAAATATTAGCTAGATCCTGGCACCTCCACTTGTTAGCAAAAACTACCTAAACTCTCCCTCAGTTTCCTCATCTATAAAATGAGAGTAATAGTACCTACCTAAAACAGATGCTATGAGAAATAGATTGATATATGTAAGGCATCACTATACTATATACATTTCCTTGTTAGAAACTTACTCTTTTCCTTTCCCTTTAATATTGTTTTTAAGATTCATGTTGTTTTGGAGACATTTCATTTGTGTGTGTGTGTGTATGTGTGATATTCCTCTCTGTGAACATACCTCTCTACTACTATTTATCCATTCTCCTGTCAGTAGATAGGGTTGCTTTCAGTTCTGTGCATTCTAGAGTATGTGAATGTTTGACTTTGTGGGATAACATCACAATGTTTGGCA